TAATGTACATGCATATTGATCGAAGACCACTTTTCTGATTTCTTAGGTTGTTGCTCAATAATATCTTTAGGCATGGGAGGAGCCAACGGAATAGGCACCGTTACGATGCAACGTCCTCCTATACCAACTGCTCCATCGGGATACGAGGGAGATCTTGTGCACTCGCAAACGCAACCTCCTCCACATCAACTACAGCAGAGTATTCCTCAGTATTATACCCCCAATCAGCCACCTCCTAGCTCCATACCTTATCAGGTATGTGGTTTTTTCCTATAGAATTTCCTCCTGTTAAAGGTAACTTTTTTCCCAGGTGCAGAGCTCCAATGGACCTCCAATTTACGGCGGTCAACCCATGCAGCAGCAGGATCCACAGATGCAACATCAAGTTCCCCCACCAATGGGACCTCCTCCGCAAGCTGTTGTGACCGTACAACAGCGAGGTGGTGGCCAATTCATACTGCCCATACCGCACCCACAGGTTATGAGATATTTTCGGGTAGCACGTTGAAGGAAATGATAGTTGAGGGTAAACATCTATATCTCTAGATGATGGCTCCACAATACATTGGCCAACAAGTGATGCCAGCTGGTGCCCAGTATCCTCCAGGGGTTTATATGCAGCGACCGGTGGGTGTCACATTCTTGACTTTATTTGTAAGGAAATTGCCTGAAATTGAAAATTTGCGCCTGCTTACATCAGTTGATATAGTAGTCAACAAGTCTCAGCATTTGAAGTTTCTATTCAATCATCCATGCGATCAATTTAACTTCAAAAATTTTGAGAGTGCTGGAGCACATATTAACTTTATGCGGAATCATGAGGGTTGCTGACATGCAATGAATTTTTTTTTTTTAATTTGGATGAGTGAAGTAAAATTATACAAACTTGAGCATTAGTTATTTTTGACTTTCAAAGGCATTTCTAACCCATGTACAGCCGCGTCTGTCTACGAATACTCTTGATTTTGTCCTTCTTTCTACATTTCATAAAAATAAACTTAACACGCATTTATGTATTTTAAAGAATAATTATAAACGTCAGGAGATTTAGACGGTTTTTGTACCTCGTGGTGATATGGGCTATGCACCAGTTGAACAGGCTCAGCCTGTTATGGTCCCAATGCCTTTTGTGGTCCATCAGATGCCACCAAATCAATCAACTGAACAGTCGCCATGTAGGTTTCAAAGTCTTATACATATCTTTTTGGGCTTTAATCTACTAGTATCGAAAATCACATTACTTTAGCAACATCTCATCTTCATGCTAGGGCTTTCAAGAAATCCCGTTTATTCCATGGGCATCTTGCATGAAACCCCTAAAGTAACAGATTTCAGATCAGCAGAATTTAATGGAGCAGCAAGTGTTGAGCACGGACCAGTACGGAGAGCAGGAATTTGGGCCATCATCTGC